CTGCCAAAGCCTGTTGGATAATCAAGCTGTGAAACCATTTTAACTTTTATTCATTCTTATTCCTCAAGTTGGCAACCCTGCTTCCAGTGAACCTTTACTAGTTAGGTTTACCCGTGCACAGCTCTGCTTTGAAGCAGAAGAATGAAGAAGAAAATAACTATAGTAGTCAGAACTGTGAATTGCAGAAGAGACATAACGTCTATCACTTTGTCTCCGAAAGTCTAAGACAGTTCTCAGAAATGTTGTGGATCTCTGTCCTGTGAGCAGCCTGTGAAGCAAAACTAAAAATGATCATCAAGAGAGAAGATGAGTGAAATTGTTCTATCCAGGCTTCAAACATGAAAGATGTGCTTCTTTGCTGCATCTTTCGAGAGTGACCATGAACGTAGTGAAGTTGAAAATATTTCCTGAAATTGTGTGAAACTGAAAAAATATCAATAACTTCTACATATAGGAAGGGAACAAAACAAGAAAGCTGGTGTGTTTAAAGAAAACTCTGAGGATGTAATAGTCTGGTTTTTGTTCATTCAGTAAAATTAATACTACCTTTCTTTCTTTTTTTTTTTTTTTTTTTTCTTTCAAACTTCTGCCTGATCCTCAGCTGATCAGGCAGAGCTGCCCTGATCCTCAATGCCACCTTACTAAGTTTCTCTGTCAATTGACCTTAAAGAAAAAAAAAAAGTCTCTATCAAGGAACGGTCAGTTTTTAAATAATTTATACATATGTAGTCTGCAGCTTTAAAATCAAATGCCTGTCAGAGTGTGCTGGTAATCATTATTGTACTACTACTGTTCTGCAGTTTAACTGTTGAAATCTGTATTGAAACCTCTTATAGCATTGGAACTTAAGCTCTTTAAGAAGAGCTCATCATTTTGATTTTCAAAAAGCTACTGAATTAAAAACACATTTCTTCCTGAATCCAGAGATAAAACTTAAGGTCTTTATTGCTTGTACTATTTCAAAGCTACTGGTGACTAAATTCCTGCTATTTAGAACCATTTGGAACACAGTTAAGTTTTAAAGAATTGCATTAACTTCATCTAGCTGATTAGGGAAGCAATAAGCAGCAATAGAAACAACTTGAAATTTTAATGTAAGAAAGAATTACAAAGAAGCTGGAAGAAAGGAAATGTCAAGGGGACTTGTAGCTTCGAGGACACAGGATAAGAAAGAATGAAGGCCCTTTCAACTGAGAAGAGATAAGAAATGGAGGAGAGGAGCTAGGAAGCTTCTCTCTTTTGGAGTTTTAAACTGGTAATTGAAGACCAACTGAAGTTCTGTATGAAAGATGGAATTGAAAGGAGAATCTAAGGACAACATTCACACTGAACAAATCAGCAGCCTACCCTTGGACTCACTGTAACTCTACTTCTATCCTTTTTCAGCTCCCAGTTATGTTATGTATGCTTTAATTATGTTGAATATTCAGACTAATAGATGGCGGATAACTTTCAGATGCTGTGCACTCCTTTCATTCAGGAATTTTGATATTCTCTGGTTAGAGAAAAGCTCTGTTACCAACTCCAGAAGCCTTCAGGTGGTACTGAAGGTACTATGTGTAAGAACCCGTATGATACCAAGTTAAATAGAGTTGCAAAACACTACTCAGAAGTTGCGGTTCTTCCAGGAGTTGCATTCACGTATTAGAGATGCTTGTTTTTTTTTTTTTTTAAAGGGGGGGGGGGGGTCAAAGTCCTTTCTGATATACTGCATGCTCACACTTTATTTCATTTCTTAAGTTTTTATGTAAAATATTTGTTAGCACATGAAATATTTATTAGTTTTTGAAATGATTTCAATTCACTTCAGAAGTCTTTTATCTTGTGAGTGTAATGAATTACTATAGACACATTTCAATGTACTAGTTCTGCATAATTCTATATGTAGCTTTAGGCAAAAGCCTTGCGCCTTGGTGGACTATAAAGTCTGGATGCGCAGCCACTTCTGACAGCTTTGGACTTTTTATTGGTAATTACACAGATGGCGAAGAGTGTTTTGCTCTTGAGATGTTTTTAAGGAAAAAATAGTTTAGAAAAATAATTTATGCAGTGAATAACATTCAGTGTTTTTTCTCCTCTAAATGTGTCTTCACTAAGACACAATATTGCATTATTTTAATGTTCTCTGAAATGGTATCTAATGATTCTCGTTTCTGCTAGACTAAAGAAAAGTGTTATTTGTTGACGTTTCAAAATTTTAAACTACTTTTTGAATTACTGGCACATTTTACTGTTTGGTTTTTTTAATGGGATGTGTCCTGTTTACCATTCAGATTCATTGTAGAAGTAATTGTCTTGTATGTCATGGGAAAACTTTTGCAAACTTTCTCAAACTATGGCCAGAAAAAGCTTTTACTTGCCTATGTGTAGGGATATACAGGATGTTCCAACAAAGTGTGTTACAGTGTAATAATGAAGGTATTCTGTAGTGCTAGGCTGGTTTAAGGTTAAACTAAGTCACCTAGAAAACAGGTGAATGGTTTGAAAGAGATCGGAAATGTGAAACTCTCATGATTTCCAGGATTACTGGACTGAATACTAGCGAAGATGCTGTACGGATTCCAGACTTTACACCAGTCATTGCTTCTTCTTTAGCTTGCACAGTGTCACAAACGAACATTCTCCCTTTTTGTATCATCTGAGGCTTAGTAACTTTGGATGCTTGTTATAGATGCCACTTGAATGTCACTGTGGAGAATTCGGCAGTTGAAATGGGTAAAATTGTTAGTAGTGGCGTTTGGTTAGTATCCTAGATGTTTTTGGTCATAAGTGACTGTGTAGGTGGCATAGATGTGAGACCATTAACACAGCTGCCACTTGGATTTCAGTGATTATTATGATCAGTTGATTAACACTTATCTCAGCTGTCTGTGACAATGGAAATTGTAGGAAAGGAACGGAAAGTCACAGACAGCTGAGATAATGGAAATTGTAGGAAAGGAACGGAAAAGAAAAATGCTTTGCTTTTGGGAAAGTGTACAGACTTAGAAAGCAAAGTAAACATTGCACTGTGTTTCAGTATATGCTACTCGCTTCTCGTTAAAGTTTGGGAATTTATAAAGAATTCACAGGCTAGTGCAGTTAAGCAGACTGAATATATTGATTTAGTATGAGACTGTTCTTTTAGTGATTGATCTTCAGTGCTAGTTATTTCAGATAAAAATGATTATAAGGTAAACACTGACTGATCTCCATCATAGTTATCTTGAAATTCCTTTAGAGCACCACAGTGTTTCTTGCTAAAGTGTTTTGCTCAAGTCTTCTGCTTCTCCCTTCGCCTTCCCAAATGTGGTATTGTAGAGTTGAGAGCCTGAATGAAGATAAGATTTATTTTAAAAATTGAGGGAAGTGTGTTTGGCAACTAAAAACTTCAACTGGTATGAAAGATTGTTGTCAAGAACAAAGACGAGCTTTCAGAAATAATTGTGCAGTCAGGTTGAGCATTCTCTTCTGACATGCTTTCCACATTTTGGAAGTGCTAATGTCATGGAAAATGTATTAAAAATCAGTTATATGAATACACTTATTATTAACTCGACTGAATTAAGCTTAAAACAACTGTTACGTTTGCATGAAATACATGATTTAAAGAGCAGGCTCTGAAAATATTTAATCATAACCTCACCAAATTCTTATACTTACACTCAGATTTAGTCAAAAGTAGTAAGATTCATGTTAACAGCCTGATCCCTTTTCACTGAGAGTTAAAATAAGGAGGATTTGCAGATTTGGAACCCAGTTTATTTTTATAGTTGATACAATTTTGAGAAATAATATGCAGTAACCATCTCCTATTCCTAATACTTCTGATTAAACTCCTAATCGATTGCTGCTTATGCTATGCCTTTGTGGGTCTCTTGTTCCAATTCATTTAGTCTGGTTTCTATTTTGAACCCTAGTACTTTACTATGTTTTGACAGTTATCTACCGGTACCTGCTGTTCAGATACTCGCTGATGAGAATCATGATAGTGCTTCTGATGAGGAAGAGCAAATCTTTTGGGGGAGGGGGGACGTATATATTTCAGCTTGTCAGGCTGCATAAATAGGTATGTGTTTATATCCTGAGGTAAGTTTCTGAATTTATTACCTGTTATATTTTGAAAGAGAATATTAGTATATCATGACCTACAGTTTGTCTGCCTGTTTCTATTTGCTTTTTTAACTTAAAGAAGCAATGTTTTCTGGAGCTTTAGCAAGTTCCTGGGACTAGAATTCCTAAATTCTAATGAAACCAACAATAACTCATTTTGTGACCTTCGGCAGTAGCTTAACCTCTCTGTCTCAGTTTTTCAGTCCATCAGATAAGAATATTAAAATTTAACTGTCTACAGAACATACAGAATTTAAATTGATACATAAGTGCCGTGTATGTTTTCAAATATGAGTTGTTCACAGCAGTTACTGAATGGGCAGCTCTACAGAGTGAAATCCTCTGTTTCAGTTTTTGATGCTTCACCTTTCTAAAATGAAATCTCCAAGTGTTTCTTTTAACTTTAGAAAGTAGCTAACTCTTTTCTACTATGATTGCCAGTAAGTGTCAGTCAATGCCAATTACATCAGTAACTTGTTGTGGCCAAATAAAACTACCTGTTGGTAACTGGGCTGTGACTAACAACTCATATCTGTTAGAGCACTCCATGAGAGTAAGAATTAGAAGTGATGACTCTATATGAAAGACTCCTTTTCTTCAGTTCTACAACTGTATCATTGATATTATGGGTCAAACTGAAGTATCTTCTATATTCTTTGTCTGTAATACTTTTATATTTTTGCAACATGTTGCAAAAATATAGACTTTTTGAACTGTTGAATTATTTGTTCAAACAGATAACAGCTATTTAATAACATGTTCTTCAAAGATCCATTTTGTATAAATGGCAGCATTTTCACCAAACAATAACATCTTTAAATATAACTTACATTCTCAAATTTATATTCTTGTGACTCTTTATTAACGTCTGCCTAAGTTGATTACATTTCTTCTTTTCTTTAAGGTAAAGTGCAAGTTAAGAGTTCAGACATACAAGTTGGAGACCTCATCATAGTGGAAAAGGTTGATGCTTTTTAAATATATTTTAGAGACTAAATTATTAACATGCTAATTATCTTCTGAAGAAAAGTATACTGAAATACTTATCTGTGAAGTATGAACCATTTACCAGTGTATTAGTTCAGTCTTATTTGAGAGTCTTCAAGGAAGCTTATTTATTTTTGGCTTTAATTATAAGCCTAATTAAATATTTATATTTTACGAATTGCTATATGCTTACATTTATGTAATGAAGGATATACTATTACTGAATGAAATTCACTGGCTTGTGCTGTGGTAGATATTCTAAGTTGTCTGATTATGGATGCTTTCTTCTGATGTTCACATCTGTGCTTTTCTCTGTGTGAAGCCTTCAAGGAAAGGTGATATGAAAATAGTTTTCTAGTCTGCCGATGTTGAGTGAGAGCTGTGAACTTTCTCTTTTTTTCTGTATTAGTATTGTAATAAAGATAATGTTGCTTATTTCAGTTGATTTGCTTTAGTAAATGATTTTGGGAAAACTCATCTATAACATCTAAATTCAAGCTCTGTTCTTGGAATAAGAAAATGTATGTATGGACTAGATGTGCAGTTTTTATTCTATACTATACTGCAGTCTACATGGCTTTTCTGTTTGCTGAGAAGTTATTGTGACCTTGAAAGTCAATTTAGTTTTCTTGTTAGAGGAAGCTATTTTGTACAAGTTCATTCTGGGAAGGTGACTGACTTTCTAGGTGCCAACAAGTAATTCCCATCTTTCTTTGTATCAACAGTCAATCCCTTGAGATACTGAGGAAGAGGTACCTCAAGTTGAAATTTGTATCTACTGCTTCATTTAACGTGTTATATGGCAAGTTGCAGTTTGGTGGAAGAATCCTTAGTGAAATCTGATTAGTGACTAGACTTTTCTAAACTTGGTGGGGTTTACTCCTGTTTCTTAATTTAGCAGAGTAAATTACTTTTGATAAAGGAGAAATCCTTTAGCAAAAATGCCCCGTTGATTTATTTCATGCTGCTTCACTTGTTAACACCTCTCCTTTTTCTCTGGGATTTCACTCATAATTTGTTAGTGGATAGAGATTATTTTCATCAGCCACATGGGGAAAATCTCCCTTCTGTTTGGTGAAAATATTTTGTTTCCTTCTTTTCTCCTTCTACTATAGTTCAAAGAAAAAAACAATACGCCCAAGTGTTGTTTGGTTTTTCTGCTCTTAGCTTAAAATAGATTTATTTTAGTGTATTTTGTACTCTTTCTTGCTTTTGTTTTTTGTCCACTACCTATATTGATGCCTTTTTGGGCTGCTCTCTGTAGGATTTAAAAGTGTAGACAAGATTAAGAGTAATGTGTCCAGCTTCCACACCTAAACTGTCTTACAGCTTGCTGTGTTAGAGTATACTTGGGACTACTTTACAGCTGCTCATTTAGACCTATTCCAGATCTTCTAGAAGACTGAGAATAAACAAAATGAGATGCTAGTTTGCTTTGATTTTGATTAGAAAACTTCTTATGGCTTAATCTCCAAACCTGGATCTAATTATTGTATATAGTAAGCGGAAGACTCTAGTGGCTACACAGGTAATCTGCTTTCACTGAAATTTATGGAAAACCATTAGCTTGTGAATTATGCTGGAATTGAGAAAGTTGGAATTACTTTGGGGATCAATTTGTCTTGTATGAGGTAGATAATTAGCATCTATTTCAGCTTTATTTACAGCAGCTTACAGATAATACTTTGAGTAGCTGAAGTTTCTAATGAAAAAATGTTAAGGATTTAGGGAAATAGTGGGTAAAATTCTTTTTGATGAAGATTTTACTCAGGTATGTCAGTAAGATGCATGAGATGCATGTGAGATAACTGAATATTGCATTTCAGCCTCAAGCTCCCTCCCCCTGCCCAACACACCTTCTCTTTATTGTGACCTAACTGTGGGTGCCTTCAGACTAATGAAATTAAATGTTTTCCTGTTCTATGGAGAAGTGTATTTTGTTGAAATAAGCAGTTTTCAATTTCAGAGTATGACTCTTAAGCCAAAGAATCATTGGGGAGTGAAATGTTCAATTGCTCACTCTGATGGCAAAGGAACAAGTTAACATTGTATTTGACTGGAAGATGCATCAACAGCATTTCCGCAGTGAAATTAATGACTCATTTGAGATGAAGATCTATATGTTAACTAGTGACTATTCACAAATACTAAAGTGAAAAACTTTTCTATGTTTAAGCTTTGAATGTCTTCTAATTTTTATAGGCCTGATTAATTTCAGAACAGCTCTAAGTATCTGCAGAGTGGTAGAAACAGTTTTGCTCTGAATAATGTATCTGCTGTGTCCTTAACCGAAAATTTGCTAATGCACTAACACTAGGGCTGAGTAGAAGAAAATATTACCCATTTTTAAAAGCCAAAAGATGTTTTTAAGTTTTAGCTGGAAAATACCTCTCCCTTCATGCCCCCCAATCCCAAGCATACATGCTGCTTTCAAGCTGTTTAATCCCCTTGGCTTTTGTTAAGGTATATTTTTGTTTATTTACGGGTGCAAAAGTAAAGTTGAGCGTAGTGTTGCTCAATAAGGTAACTGAAGGGATGAATTAATGAGTTAGGATATTGTTATTTAGTCACTGTAGCTTACTGATAGTTTGAAACACCTTTTGAGGATGTGAAGAGAGTGTAAAATTTGTGTTTTAGAGCATGTGAAACAGTAATGCTCTATTTTCAGACTTGGAGAGCTTCTCTTGGACAGCATTATGGCGGCACACCTGTTTCTTGATCTCAAATATAAAGTGAAATTAAACCAGTATTTGTAAAGATTGTGCTTACTGCTAACTTGCAGTACTGCACAGTACACAGACACAAAATTTAACTGTGAACTGCATTTTTCATTTCCAGCTCAGAAGCCAGCAAGACTATTTTAGTCAATGAGAACAGTACATGGTTCACTGCATGTGACAAAAGGAAGGACAGGAAATGCAAAGTGTTGAGGGTCTGTACTTTACCGGCAATTGTAGGGGAGTTGGAAGACTATATAGGAAGTTGAGGGGGGAAACGTTATTTTTTTAAATGAATAATGTAGCCTATATTGCAGGGAAGTATAAATATGTTTGAGGTCTAATATTTGTGGGTTATCTTGCTTTTCAATCTGGCCAGTTTAGGTAGTATGCTGTGGTGGTGTGGAGCTTAACGTGGGAACCCGGAAGCTGGGGGAATACATGGCTTGTGTTGACCATCATCATATTACAGTTAGATCTCTAGAAATGAGTTGATAAGTCTGCAGCATCGACAGAGAAATGGAAGTGCTCCTCCCCAGAGTCTAATTCTACTTAGATGTAACTTAGCAAAACAATATATTCAAGTCATTTTCATGACTTATATATTCAAATTTCAGTGTGTATCAATAAACTTCTAGCTTAATCTCCATCGTAATTGACATCACGTAGCTTGTTCATGGGTTTCTGAATGTTCAAAGTTGTATATGTTATCATTTTAACTTGTTCCACTTTGACAAATACGGCATGAAGGGGTAACGTGATTGACATATTGCTGCTGTTCGTCTGTGACGATGTACAATAGAACTTTATTTCCTCCATAATGAGGTGTTAAAGATTTTTGTGGCACGCGTGCCATCTGTTTGAGTGTAGTCACTCTTTTATACTGAGTAGGTATTAGGTACTACATCTTCACAAGGGGATCTTTGCTGTACAATATCAGCAGTGATAGTGACAAAGTTTTTGTGGTATCTAGTAGTTACGCAGTACCTTTCTCCCTACTTCCGAAATATGGAAAATCTGCTGGAGAAAGAGGTGTCAGTCTAAAATACCGGGCTTCTTTAAGGAGAAAGTAAAAACAATACTGTATTTACCCTTTGTTACTTGGAAGAAGATGTTTGGATATTTTTATGCATAAAGGAATTTGTTATTTTACAGGAAGAAAAACAAGTAGAGAGAACACATTAAAAAGACATAACATCAAAATGCATTTTTGTATTACAATGTGAAAGTGATCACATGACTAATTTCAGTCATTCTGCCCAATTTTATTTCAGTCAGGCCTAAAGGCTTGATTCTTGGATAGCAAATACCAGGTAAACTTCTCATGCACTGAATGTAAAGTACACGCTCTTCATGGAAGTTGGTAATGACTTGTCAAAACTGATAATCGTTCTGATTGATGAAACTTTTATTCTATATAGGATTGTTAGATCACTGCTTTTGCAAAATTTGGGGGCATTCAGTCAAATTTTAGCTTGCTTGCGAGTAACTGAAAGGCATAAAGTAGGCATAACTTCTGTAGGCATAAAGTTAGTATCCTCTAACTTGAGTAACGTTTTATGTCGGAACTGGCAGGAAAGCTGCAGAAATGTATAGCTGATCTATGTAAAGACTGTATATCTGTTTACTTGTTATTGTAATTTAAAGAAAGACTTGCTTAATTTTGAATTTGCATTTTCCCATCCTCTTTGTTTTTGATAGTATGTGAAGAATAATATATTTCATTAAGGTTAACTTTTTTTGCAGTTTTTTCCGACTTTGAATATGGGATGTTCCTGGCTGAGTCTAGGCTCATGATAAACAATAAATTTCGCTACATACTGTACATCGCTACATACATCCAACTTTTTCTGTTGGATGGCAAGATTCCAGAAACGCTGTATCAGCTGCAATGGCAGCTGAGCAGCCCTTTCAAGGTGAATACTGTGGATATTCAGACAAGCACATGAATTTTTAGCCCTTCATGCTTTTACAAATAGATGGGAATTGCTACAAGTCATAAAATATCCATTCTTGAAAATGCAAGGATATTTTTAGGTATGAGTAGGAATTTTTGCTTGCAGCAGAGCTTTTTAGATAAACTAGAACGTAGGCGTCTGTCTTCCAGTGCTTCCAAACTTGCTCAATTTTTGAGCTGTTCTTGTTTGCTTGAGATAGTATAACTGATCATTGCTTCTGTTCCCTGATCTACTATCTCCATAGGCTTTCACTTCCCTCCTCTACTGGATTTCTCATAGATGGGAGTTACAGTTTTTGCAGTCCTGCTTTCAAACCAATGTCCTCAAGAGTATGTTACAAGGAAGCGGAGAAGACACGTATGCCTTCCAGATTTTTTTGAGAGTTAAAACATCTTGTTTTGAAAGTTGAGCCCGTACAACACAACATCTGGTGCTTTACTGTCAGATGTATTCAGATCACACTATTCTAAGTGGCATTCTTGCGATTGCATGCCACTCTGGGAAGAATTCTCTGGAGTTAATAAAAATTTTGCCTACTGTTAAAACATTCACAAAATCCAAGTTGTTTTATGATCAGAAATAGTATTGCTATATGTTTGGGACTTCTGCAGAATCAAGGCAAATGTTACTGTACAGCATTGTGTATAGAAGAAGCATCAGTTTGAATATTGTTGTCTGATGTAAATATGCATTTATTCTCTGTTACTAGTGAGACTATGTTTTTTTTTCCACTCTGCACTGATTTTTTTATGGATAGTCAAGCACAGTATTTTGAAGGTCTCTAACGCTGTCAAGACTAAGTGAAGTGTCATACAAAGCAGTGCTTAATTATCTTGCCCAGTTGTGTACCTTCAGCCATTTTATGGGTTGTGCTGTAGGTTTATTTACTTTGAAGATTTTTTTCTTATGATATGCAGTGATTAAGGGGAACTGATGCTTTCCAAAAAAAAAAAAAAAGAAAAAAAGAAATGGGGTTTCAAATCAAACCAGATTCAGAATGGTGAGCTCTTTACAGTTAAGAGCAGTTTTGTGTCCGTAAATATAGAGGCAGAGGACTGACTCGGATGTGGGGGATGGGAGCCAACCCCCTCCCCCTCAAACACTCTGTGTGAGTCTTGATTCCTCTTGATTTTCTGAATGGTGGTTGATGGTGTGATCTAGGCTGTTGCCAAGATTCCTGATGGGCTAAGTAGGTTCAGAGCTGCCACATGCTGAACCTGAGGATGTTTATTTTTATATACACATATGTATACATGCACACACATATGCGTGTGTGTGTATATGTTTGTAAAAATAAAATATGTGTCTATAAATTACAATATAAATTCATGAACAGCTCAGTTTGGAGCCCATTACTCTTCCCTAGTAGTTACGACTTTTCAGGGCTATTCGAAAGATTTGTGTTCTGCTTTGAAATAACGAATCAGTGTATCTGCTGAATTCGTTATGCTGGACGTTGCATTGCTTAGGATCTCAAATAGAAGTTTTCAAGTTAATTTGGTCCCATCTTCATTGCTATTTCTTCTGTATAAAATAACTGCACGATTTCCTATAGCTAGTAGTTTATCCACAAAATGGAGCCACAACTGAATTACTGTAACTGTATTTTGCCATTGGTAATAATTGAAGTGTGGAATATGGAATAGTTGTATAAAGTTTTGAAACGCTCATATACTGAACATATTTTTTAACTTTTTATTTTGACTGGTAAATTCAGTCAGATTTATTTTAAAGGCCAAGCCCCATGAGGTTAATGTATGCCATGCGATGGGCTTGATATGCTAGCTCTGTATATGTATATATATATGGGTTTTTTTCCTCCCTTCTACTCTTACTTCAAGCAGTCAGTTGATCTCTTCAAAAATAAAACATGAGCCATGGCTATTCTGTGGCTTTCAGGGCCATATAAACAAGTATGCCTCTAATTCTCAACGGGAGATACCTTTTGCATGAAAAATGTTAATTGTTCTAAGTAAAACTTAATGCAGTAAAGCCTCTGGGCAAGTAATTTTAAGTGAATATTGGGAAATATATTTTAGTTTTAAACTAATGAAGTCATTGCTGCTAATCCCCTGAGATTTCTTGCTCAGTTAAAGGTAGTCTGTAAAGGAAGAGCAAGTGAATCTTTGTGTTCTGCCTCAGGATCAAAAAATAAATCATGTGACATACTAGCCGTAAGACGCATGACAGGAAATGTGCTACACAAAATCAGTACTGTATCTTTTCTTATTGCTTTTTCCAGTATTCGCTCTGGTCCCCATCACTTTAATCTGTTGCTTCTTTTCCTTTTCAGTCCTACATCTATTTTAGTTTTTTGCCTGTTAATTATTTTTACTTGCCCCAGCTTTTCATTCTTAAACCCTGTATTGGCCATGTGTAACTGTGAGGTGGTAGCTGCCCTGTGCGCAAGAGAGGAGAGCTAAGGATCTGGGTAGCTGTATGGCAAGTAGTGGGGGAAGAAGTAGTGTGTGTGTGTATGTGGGCAGGGGGTGTTTAGTCGGTGAAGGCTTAGATTGGCCTATGTTCAGCAAATGTTGAAAACATGATTTGTTGCAGAGACATGCCTGTCTCTGTGCCCTGTGTATGGAGGGGGAAAAATGCTATTCACTTTGTCTTTGTAAAGGAGAGATTTATAAATATATTAAGTTGGAAAATACTATATGCAAGCCTCCCTGTCTCCTCTGTGTATGTGCATGTAGGGAGAGAGGAGAGGATGTCAGGGAATACTCATATACTTGGCATGCAAAATGGGTGCAATTTGAATGCCAAGATAGATGTTTTAAAATTCACTCTTCAGTCTGTTATCTACACTGACTAAGTGTCAGGGTTTTGCTCTTTAAAATTATTTTCTTTCAGGGATTCCAATTAGATGTTTACATTTATTTTCTGAAAACAATAGTTCAAGAATGTAAATCTGTTAGTTCTTCAGACATTTATATGATTCACTTATAAAAAGAATCTGAAGGGATTAGCTTATTGTATAATTTTTTGAAAATATTGATTTCTGAATTGCAAATGCTGAATGTAAAGTACTTTGATAAATCCTATTTTAATTGAGTTTCAATCCAAGTGTGACCTTTTAGTGACTGATCTTACTGGACATTTGATTGGAATTTTTTTTTTCATCTTACTTAAACAAATTACTTTTTTTTCTCCTCTTCTTAGAATCAACGAATCCCATCTGACATGGTGTTTCTCAGAACATCGGAAAAAACTGGTATGTTTTGATAATTGCAGTTGGTTACGTGATAACTTAATGGTTGCAGTGAAGTTTTAGTGTGTGCATTGTGGCCAGTTTGAAATGTTCAAATAGACTGATGACATAAAATTTACCTTTATCTGATTAACGGAAGGGTGTCCATATATGAGCCATGCAGTATGTCTGGACTGCAAAATGAGGGAAGTCTTACCAAGAATAGAAGACTCTAAAGTTATGTTCCTCTGAAGAGATTTCTGTCTTTGAATTGATGCAATGACACTTTCAGGCAAAGCTAATATTGCTTAAAAACTATTTTAGTATATTTAAAGAAATATGTATTTGTTTAATATGCCTTGATAGTATTGTCTAATTATTTATGCAACTAACATTAGTTATTTTATGCTGATTATATTACAGCACACATTTAAATATCGCTTGATTCTGTTGCAGTTACTAAACTGAAAATAACTGAAATCTCATCCTACTACTGTGTGTTTATAATAATTTTTAAATGCTGTTCAAGTGATCTAAGTATTTCTTTCAGAATAACTTTTAAAAGCTTGCTGAAAAATAATGCTACCTCTTTGGGTAGTCAGAAAAAGCACTTTCCTTGAGGAAGAGGAATAAAAGTACTTTTCATTAGTTATATTTCTTGCAATGTGGTGGCAGTTTAGTACTCGTAGCCTTTGAGGAACAAATATCTCCTTTATAGAAGCTCTAGATGTTACAATTCTTTTGCTTGAAGTTTAGAAACAACTACTTGGATGGCCCCCATGCAACTCATTTGAGTTCTCCCCTTTATATTATTGTATCTCTTCAGACGATGAAGAACTGCCTGGTATTTGTAGGACAGCCCTAAATTTCACAAAGCTAATAGCTGTGATATTGAAAAACACTATATTAGTAATACTGGGCATCTCACTTTGGCTTTGGAGTTTTATCAGCTACATTTCAGAGAGAAGGCCAAATTTGCAGATTAGGTTCTCCACCTTGTTTCATGGGTGCAGATGGCAGTTAGGGTGAGTAACGATACTTGCAATAGAAGACAAAAATATTTCTGATCACCCAGACAACATTACTAGAGCTATATTTGCTAAAAAGAGAAGAATTACTGTATGGTCAGTGTGTCTTAGTAATTACTTTCGAATGCTGTAGAGACACTAGATCAGCCATGAGTGGTCTGGGCTGACAAAGTTTCCTAGTAGTCTGTATAATCTCTGTCTAGGTTGACCACCTTCTGCTTCAGAATATGTGGGGTTTTCATTTTATTCCCTCCCACAGCACCTTAATTTCTTAAAACGCATCTTGCTTCTGACAGCCCAAAGCTTTTGGATCCAGCATGATTTAAAAGAGATTGATTCATATCTCCTCTTGGGCTACTTGGAGTGTCATCTTTTTTCGACTTATCCAACAGTGATTTCAACAGGAATCCTACCTGCTTAAAAAAGTAGGAGGATCTATACCCCTGTAGAAGGTTTACCTTAAATTAGGTCACTTGCATGCAGTACTTAAGGGGGTAAAAGGTCAAAGTGCTTTGATCTCCTAATCTTTACTAGCTATATTGGATTGTAGGATTGCATATCCAGACACTTGGAAGAAATTATAGTCCACTCTACCAGGAGTGTGTATCAATGGTAATTTCTTTGAATGATGTGCCTTGTAGTAGAAATGCCTAGGGAACTCAATATGTAACATTGCATCATGTTTGCTGCTGTAGAAATATCAGGAGCTATTTATATGCAGAGAGCTGTCCTTAATTAGGATCCTTGCAGCAATTTACATCAGATGCATTGTTACTGCTGGAGTAAATGAACAAGATGAAACAGTTGTTAACCTTGCAAAAGCATAAGTTCCTCAATGTTGTGTTTTATATATCTACTCTATGGCATGCTTTCCTCCCTGTTAATTCTTAAATTTCTGGATTCTGTAAGAAAGCATGTAAGAAACTGCAATCTTCTTTCCCCTCAACACTGGTAGCTGAAGGAGGGGGAACAGATTGGAGTGTCTTTGGAGGGAAATCTCTATATCAAGTTTCTTATATGCTTTCCTATATCAAAAATGTGTAAAGAAAAGCATTTTTTGAAAGTAAAATAGTTTAAGTCCATTTCAGAGGTCAGTTTTTTAGAATGTTATAATCAAAATTTTTCTTTAAGAGAGTCCAGAGCAGTAATCTAATGTCTAGAAAATAAAACGACTTATAAAGTTATCATGTTATAACAATATGCTTTCTATCACTGAGGTTAAAAAGATGCTCGTGAACACTTGAAAGAGTTTTTTACTTATTAGGAAGAGGTTCAATATGACATACAGTGACTAAAGAGCAAATTTGGCAAAATCTTCTGGTATAAATTGTTTTATATACACTTCTGTTGCAGAAGAAAAGTGATTTTTAGCACTGATGAAGATTCAGTTTCTGTAAATGTGCAGCAGTTTAGATATGCCAGTGATGCACTTTAAAAATGTCGGTAATTTTGTTTGACTGAAGAGTGTGTGTATGTGTGGTGTTCCCCTCCCGCGCTGGATGTTGCAGTTTTGACTGATTCATGATGTAATTTATATTTGGCACGTTAAATACTTTGTAAAACATTTTAGTTTTTGCATGGTTTTATGCTCTTTAGGTAACTTTATCTTCTGTAAAATAAAACTGTTTATGTTTTATAGATTTGTAGTAGCAGTATTATAATTAAAGAGTTTTTGAACTGGTTTTTAAATCTCAATTTCTTCCCTCTGGAAGCTTCTTTTTTGGGGAAGGTACTATTTTCCCTTTTTAATATTTATATTACATATTAATGTTCTTTGCAGTTTTTCTACATCTTCAGTCAAAAAAGCAGTTTGTATTGTAAATGAGTAGCTTACAAAGTTCAACTTAAAACTCTTTTAGCTTCTTTTTATATAAATGTGGTACCATGAAAGAAATGAGTCAGTAGCATGTGCTTGTTTTCCTCTTGTGTTCCTCCCCTCCATACCTAAATGCATCTTTAGGAATGCAGGATTATTTAGGACACTTTCAACTCTGCAAAGCAGAAGCTGTGAATGTAAGGGAATGAAGCCTAATGGCTTATCTTGATTAAAAAGTGAATTCTTTTTAGGTGTCTTTTCATGACTTAGCACATGGCTTTCAGATCCATTTTAGCTAGAGCGGTATCTTCAAGTAATACTTGATTTCTGAGGTAGTGACGTGATGCTAATTATATAAATGTATCTAATTTCTAAGATTCTTTTTTTTAATGTATATCAGACTTTTGTAAAAGTTAGTCTAAAGGCAAATGTAGAAGGGTTTTTTCTTATGGATTGTCCAGCATGAATACAAAACATTGGTATTTCTGTCTTCATGAATGGAAGCAGCTAGATGACTGTTCGAATTTAAGGTTAGGATTGCTTCCCAAAGGGGGGAGGGAAAAATCCCTCCTCAGATCTGAATTTTTTACTGCTGTCAGGCTCCTATTATAACAGAAGTTTTCACAAGTTTTTTAATGACTTCCAAAATAAAGAAAAAACAGAGGGATTTTTAAACTTAAGAGTAAAACCTCTGCAATAATCTTTTGGCTTTATATATATTTAAAAAGGCATCAAGAGAAGGTTAAAGCAGAATCTTATGTTTTTGCTCATTATACATGGCAGAGGGGACAAGCAATTTGGGAGATCTGTCCTATTTATCAGCCTTTCACCAGATTAAAGGTAAAAGTTTGTGCTGAGCTGGCTGCAAAAGATGGTTTAAAGGTTTTCTTGATTTGGTGCATCGGCAGGCTTCATGCCAAAACAACCGAATACCTAGGTGGAAAACTGTTATACAAAGTATATGTATGCAGGATCTGTGTTATGCCAATAGAAAGCTTCCTCACTAGAACTGAGTAGAAGTGGGGTTTTCTTGTTTTTGTTCTTTTTTAGTTTTTTTTCCCCCTATTGCTTGGCATGCACTTCACACTCTATTGCTCTGTGCAGTCTCAGTCACAGATCAAAAGTTATACAGGATGTTTCGGAAGTCATGGTACAGCTTTCTAATTGTCCACAGAACGGTCCAACTGAACCGTGCATTAGTGACTCCATTTTTATTGGAGTATTATCAAAGATACTGCCTTTGTCTCCAAAGTACGGAAGAAAAATTTCAATGATAAACTCTTCCTTTCTCTAAGCTAAAATCATTGACCTTGTTTTGGTTATGCATTGTGTTGGTGAGTACACACTTTTGTTTGGTGACCTGATTCTGATAGAATGAGAGTAGGTCAGATTTACCTACTATACAAGGGTGTTTCTAACGTGAGCTAGTCCTTCGTGAAAATCTGGTACTTATGTTTATAAGACTTGGTATCTCTCTAATATTTGTACTCTGTTAGCTTTCAAATGTGAAACTAGGAGAGGTGCACAAATATTTAGTAACATGGCTACAGTGTCAAAAGACAATGAATAAAGCTTAACTTTTTTTTTTTGTCTTACAAACTTTTCATTTACCCTCCCCCAGTGCCCCAGATCATTATCATTCACTGGGCAAAAGCTGTCATATGTAGTGGCTGGTTCTGAGCTACATACATGCTGATTTTTGCTAGTAAACAAGTCAAAGAGCAGAAGACTGCTGGAGCTAACATGTTGGCCTTTTTCTTGCTCATGTGGATCTTAACCTCATTTTTCACAAAAATTACAGGAACTTTGTATTCTTTAGACAGTTGGTCTGCCATAATTGGTTGAAATTGGCCAACAAGTTGAAAGCTATTGGGACAAAGATGGCCTGACAAAACGGCATTGCATGTGGAGGTTAGGCTAAATGGCTTATTTGCTAAAGCCTCTGCAGCTTGGAAGAGCCAAGGGACAACTACCTTTTGGCATGTGTCATGTTCTGTTGACACTAGGACTGGGAAGAACAGTGTGTGTTCTTTACCACTGCTAACTCCTAAGACCTGTAACAGCATGACTAATTGCAGCACTCTTATAATATTGTTCTTTGTCAGAAGCCTTTCAGGAGGATAAGCATTGATTAGTCTTAGTTTAAACCCTTTTTGTTCCTGAGGTTCTTATCAGATAAG